GGTCACCCTGCTCTGTCAGGTACTATCTGCTGTATCATTCACCAGGAATAAAGCTACAGCAGTAACATGTGTTAAGAGTTTGCATTGAAAGATCCCTAGGAGAGGCCAGTTCCAGAACAATTATTGTAACCCCCTTGAATCCTATAGTGGGAGAAAGGCAGGATATAAATCCAATAAACAAACAAACAAACAAGACAGGTGTTGATCTTGGCTTCACCTTTCAACAGCCACCCTGCCCCACCTGTCCTGACAGCTATATTTGGACTTGACATCAGCCAAACGAAAATTATCACCTGATTCAGGTATTCAAGACAATCAAGTCAATTGTATGGTTATCTAATGCTAAACTTTTGAGAATGATGCAAGTTTCTGTTCAGGATCTTCAACATCCTGGGGTATGTGTATGAAGAGACAGCTTTCCGCTTGGCAGGCCATTTCCGAGGCAACATCTTAGTGAATTATGTGAAGCATTTTCTTGTTGATTCATTGCTCAGAATGACCCGCTGAGCCAGTCTTTGTTTGGATCAATCCACAGCGGTTTAACAATCCGGCCAAGTCAATGGGAGGTATAGGAGCTTTCTGTGATTAATGTTTGATTTCCCCCGGTTCAGCACTCAACACTGAAATGATCAGATTAAAAGCATTTGATGGCAATATCTGAGATGGGAGTGTTGTTTGAGCAAATGGGAAAAGGTTGCTAAATGGGCCCTAAACAAAAACAGAGACAGTTTGTGAATATTCTCATTTACAGCTGCAATTCCAAGCACACACTGGAGAGTGACAGTTACCCAGATGTGACAGTCTGCTGCAGCAAAAAAAAAGAGAGATGTCACACTTCACAGATTAATACCTGTGTGAATAAATTTATAAATGTGTTAAAGGTGCCCCAAGGCTCTTTTGTGGTTTTTAGAAAACAGAAAGTCCAACTGAAGTCAGAATGGAACTTTCTTTCAAGAAGACGCACTACAGAATTATGTTATAAATGCACACACACTTAACTTGCATTATGAAATTATTTTCTGACTTTATTCTCAGGGGAGAGATTTCTGGACCTGTTTACCCCACTTTTCTGCAACACCTTTTGCTAGGCAGACTAAAATAACGTAGCAGAAAAGAGATCCAGAAAGACTTCTTAACATTCCAGGAGATTTCAAATTAGTCTCTTCACACATTTCCAATTGGATGCATGCACCTCAAAGCTAAATAGTTGTAAGTCTCATGGGTTTCAATTTTTAAAAAAAAAATAACCAGGCAGTCATCTGGCTGTATCAATTTATGGCAATCCCATGAATTTGATAGGGTTTCTCAGGCAAGGAATACTCAAAAGTGGTTTGTCAGTTTATTCCTCTGAAATATAGCCTACAACACTTATAGCCTACAGTTTTTCAACAGAGTTCCTCAGGCTGGACATTTAATTTTTAAAAAAATAATCAAATTAAAGGAGAAGAGGTAAGAGGAAGACACATTGCCAGCATATGCTTAATTGTATGATCCTGTTCGTGTCAGCACAAAAGCCCAGATTAGTTCAACAAAAGTGCAGCCTCGTGTCTTTCCAACTTCTTAAACCTATGTAACTCATACATGTTGGAGTGGATTCATCCTTGAAGAATTGGAAATGTCAGAAGCAGCCTTATAATTGAGTCATAGCACTGGGCCATCTAAATCAGCATTGTCAACTCTAACTGGCAGCCCCTCTCCAGGCTTTCCTAACCTTACTTGGAGATTCCTGGTATTTCCTGGGGGTCTTCCATCCAAGTACCAACCATGTCAGGTCCTGCTTGGTTTCCAAAGTCAGATGAGATCAGGTGGCAGAGTGTTATGGTGGTAATTTAGTGCTGACAAACAAATGGAAGTGATGGACACACATTTGTATCATGTGTATTATACAGGTGCCTTCAGAATATTTGCTCCACAGAAAGCAACCCTGTCTGGAATCCCAGCAGGGAACTATAGCCAACCTTGGCTGCCTGAAAAACATATGAAACAAGAGCCAAATATCCAGAACAACTCACCGTATTTTTTAGAAAGCTGCTTAATGTATTGCAAGCTTGTTGTAGCTCTTTTTCCAAAGATTAAACAGTTTAAAAATACATGCACACACCCCAAGATGGTATAATTAGTCCTACTGCCATTACATGCTGCACAACCAATAAGAACAGCATGCAATGCCATGTAAAGATCCGCAAATCTGCAGTTTCCAAAACAACAGGAGTTGGCTACATTTTTTCTTTTAGAATAATAGATTACTTTAATTTGTTCTTCTTGAAAAGTTTCTTTTTTTTTACCACCTGCCTATATACAATTCACAAGAATAAGGACTGAACTCCTCTGTTCCTTTTTAAATGGCATTTTTCTGGTTTATCAAACTGTGTGAGTGTGTGCGCACACAAGTCTTCAAGTTGCCTGTTGACTTTTGGCAACCCTATGAATTGCAAAGGGATTTTTTTTTTCTGGCAAGAAATACTCAGAGGTAGCTTTTACCAGATCCTTTCTCTGAAATGCACCCTAGAGCATCTCATAGGAAGAAATGGCAAAACCACCTCTGGTTGTTCCTTGCCTAAGAAAACCCTATGAAATTTATGGGGTTGCCATAAGCCAACAGGTGACTTGAAGGCACAGACCATCACCTGGTATTCTCTGGTGACCTCCCATCCAAATACTAATCAATGCTGACTCTGCTTAGCTTCCAAGATCACATGGGATCTGGTGCTTTTAGGCCTTTTATCAAACTCCATGCATCCACTGGATCACAAAACAAGACATTAATAGCGCTACAATTCTGCCAAGGCAACAATCTGTGAAATCCTAGGATTGCTAATGTGCTAGAGCACTTTCCCTAAGACTTCTAAATATCCCTTCCTAAACTGAAAATCTCAGGACTTCATAAGTTGTTGCCATGACAGTTAAAGTGGAATCATACTGCTAAAACTGTACAGTGTAAAGAAAAAGGGGGAGTAGATTCTCCTTTTTGATGGGTCTCCTGGGCAAATCTACTTTTCACCAACTATTCAATACTAGAATATCTTTCAAATACAACACTACTTTTGGTCATATTGTGACAGGATGCCCTCCCTCCTTAAAAAATATATATATATATATATATATATATATATATATATATATATATATATATAAAATTAACTATTCATAAAATTGCCGGACACAGTTTTATATTTGAAAAGTATTCTGGTATTTTATACTCAACAAAAAGTAAGCTGCATTTTTAAAACCAAATTATAAACGTTCGGGTGGGTTTATCCAAGGCTCCTTGCCATACAACAATGAGTTCTATATCTGAAAAAGTTGTGCAGTATAAAATAGGAAAAAGCAACTTATACACATGAGTGAATTATTTCAGAGTTTTGCTAAGTGATGTGTAAAATAGCTCTCAGAATTAATAGGCATCTTTGGGCAACAACAGGCCTGACTC